ACTTGCTGATCGGGCCATTTTTCAGTATTCGCAGACAAGAGGACAATATGTGTGTGTGTGTGTGTGTGTGTGTGTATGTGTATGTGTGTGTGTGTGTATGTGTGTGTATGTGTGTGTGTGTACGTACCCGATCTCCCCTCCGTCCCCGAATGCAGGAAGTGATGTATATTGCATCACTTCCGCATTCTGCCGTCACTCTCCAGCTACAGAAGCTGGTGAGGCTGATGACTCGGATCTCTGCTTCTACAGCTTCCCTGTGGAAGCTGTAGAAGACAGAAAAGACAGAAAAAATAAACGTAGGATGACAAACCCTAAACAGATCAGAGATATACCACATACATGAATATTACAATGTTCTGTAGATTCATAATTCATTTTAGGGTTTGTCATCCTACGTTTATTTTTTCTGTCTTTTGATTATCAGGAGGCATTTTTTACTCCCAGGTCCAACATGTATGACACCCCACTAACTCCCCTTTATATATATATTATTATATACACATATACATATACACTTATACACACACACACATTTGATATTTTGGAATGTGAACTGAATGTTTTGATACTGATGTGCTATAAAACACAGTATGTACACTGTACAGCTTAAATTGTAGACAAGGCATCATTACCATTGTGTCAACATACACGCACATTTCAATTTTTTTTTCTCCGCGCTATGGACCAAACTTTTTATATTAACTGTCAGATTCACTTTATACAAAGTCCAGGGAGATTGGAAGCCTGGGAATTAGCTTGTTATGATGATGTGCCACTTTTCTGACATTTAATGACAGACATTTTCCTCACGAGATGTCAACTTGTGTTGTCACTAAGCCAGTCCACTGGGGATAATACGAGTGCTGTCAAGAACAGGTTTAGTGCTCTACTGCACTTAGACAATGCCACTAGTTGGATCAATAGACAAATGTAAATGTTTGCCACAATTCAGTAATTTTTTGTTAGTAACATACAAGAGAAATATTGAATTAAAAAAATGCTTCTATATAACCCCCACTACCTTCGTTTATCATCACGCGCTGTTGACTATTATACCAGGACCAATTAAGGAAGTAAGGCTCTGTTCACACCTAGGCGTATTGAATATGCGCGTTTGTCGCGATGCGTGTTTTTATCGCGATTCGCAGTAAAAAAAAACACGCGACAAATGCGCGTTTCCGAGGGCTACTTGGCTGTATCCCAATGGAAACGCGTGACAAAAACGCCGCAAAGAAGCTCATGTACCTTTTCAGGCGTAGGCCGTTTTGTAGCGCGTTCAGACTAGAGCTGCAACAGTTAATCGATTTAGTCGATTAAAATCGATTGAAAACGTTACCTACGTTTTCGATCGTCGATTCGTCGGCTATCAATTGATTTCCCTGTTCGGGGCTCTACACGCGGCCTGAAGCACACGTCACACGCTGCTCACGTACCGCTGCGCCCGCCGTGCTCACAGGACACCTCCCACCGCACGCTGCTCCCGCCGTGCCCACAGGACGCATAAGCCACGCCCACCGCTGAAGCCTGTTCGCGGCTCCACACTCAAGCCCCGCACGCAGCGCACGCCACGCCCACCGAACGCGCACGCCGCAGCGGTCCAGCTCCCGACGCTCCTCACATCTAGCCGGGCCGATCACATGACGGGTGCCGGGGATGTGAGCGTGACGGGTGTCAGCCGGGGGACGGAGACTATGGCTGGGGACGAGCCGGCATCTATGGAGGGAATGCTCAGACAGTAAGTGCCCCGACCAAGAGCCTGGGACCCAACACTGTGCACCCCAACCCACCATCATACCCATCCTCTGCACCCCAACCCACCATCATACCCGTCCTCTGCACCCCAACCCACCATCATACCCGTCCTCTGCACCCCATTCCACCATCATACCCATCCTCTCCATCCCTTCACTCCATTCCATCATTATACCTGTCCTCTCCATCCCTGCACTCCATTCCACCATCATACCCGTCCTCTCCATCCCTGCACTCCATTCCACCATCATACCCGTCCTCTCCATCCCTGCACTCCATTCCACCGTCATACCCATCCTCTCCATCCCTGTACACCATTCCCATGTATTCTGCACTGTGCCGCTTTATAATGTACTATATTGCACACCACACTATTTTTTTTAATTCCACCGCTCCTAGCTTGCTCCCGTGATGGACTACAATCTCAACACAAACTAGTAGTCCATCACTGGATACTTTTTTTTAAAAATCCGATCGATTAATCGAACTTAATAATCGGCTAACTAATCGATTATGAAAATAATAGTTAGCTGCAGCTCTAGTTCAGACGGGCTGAAATACGGCAAGGTGTGAACCATACCCATAGAAAACAATGGGATTTTCATGTTTGAGAGTTTTGTAGAGCGTTCGTAGAGCGTTGAACGCGCTACAAAACGTACAGGTGTGAACCAGGCCTTAAGAAAGGCTTATTTAGATTTTTTTAATTTGCTGCAAGAACTGTAATAGCTAGATATTGTTGTGATGGACTACAACCTCAATACAAACTAGTAGTCCTATCACTGGAGCCATTTTTTAAACTTTATTTTATTGTTTATCCGATTAACCGATTCATCGAACTTAATAATCGGCTAACTAATCGATTTTGAAAATAATCGTTAGCTGCAGCTCTAATTGGAGCTTTCAAGATACATCTCAAACTAAAGATTGGGTCAAAGAAATATATATTTTTAAGAAGGGTTGAAGAGTTAAATAGTAGCGCGATCCCAGGACAGGTACCCACAATTTATGGTGACATGGAAACCATGGATAGAGTCCGACATCACTACCATGTGGTTACCAGGAATGTGAGGCTCACTTGCAAGGCCATTGCAGGGGAGAGGAATGAGGGAAGGAGATGAGACTGACTTTCTTCTTCTTTCCAATTCATCTTGTTTGTTTTCTTTGTGTTTTTTGGGTGGTTTAGGGATGGGAGGAATTTTGGGTTGTCGTTTTCCTTGCTTTTTTTTTTTTTTTGTTGAGACCCCTAGGGGGGAAGAATGGTTTTAATACCAATGGGAAGGGAAATTTATGGTGGCTGTTTTAGGAAGAAGTTATGAATCTCTCTCTCCTCTGTTTCCAATTGGATTTCTCCCTGCGAGAGTCTTTTAACAGGATGTTTACATGTTTGTATTGTTATATATATAGAAACAAGAATTATTATACAAAAAACGTAGTTTATCATAACTGGCCCTAAGTGACACCGCCCCCTCTTCCCTTTAGCAAAAAAGAAATTTGCAAATACCCGTCAGTTCCCTCCCTAAACTTATCAAGATTTTATATACGTTTCATATTATACTCTGGGTTGATTTACTTAAGGAATGGAGGTTGTCCTGTGAGTACTCGGTTTTCAAAAACATGGATTAAAAAGGTGAACATGTGTTTGAACATGAATTTTGGTAAATAAAGTGTAGCAGAGCTCACTTCAAATGCCCACTTTGTGTGAGGGAGATGAAAAAAAAAAAAAATAGTACTTGCAATAAAATCCTTTTCTTGGAATCTATTTGAGGGGCAGAGGAATTAATTACCCTTTGAGTTATACTGCTGTGTACAGGAGCAAGATTGGCCCTAGCATAATACCTAAGGTATTATGAAAGGGTTTTTTTTTTTTTTTAAACGTATTAGGTATTATGCCTAATACCCAAAATAAAGTCTGAACACAAACCACCACCCTTAGCACTTAACTCCTTACTCGCATCTATCTCCAATCTCCAAATATTTCTTAGATCGTTATCTATTTTTTGTTGCAGCAGGCAAGATGGCTCAATCCAGGTTTTTTCTTCTGAGCACTTTCACAGTGATCTATACTTATAGAAAGTCTCAGGACTGAAATTGCAGGACTGTGTTTCCTTAACATGCAATGCAAAAGCCAGGGCTGCAGCGTTCAAATCTACTTTACAAATCATAGTGAACAAACCCCTCCCCCCAACATTACAAAGACATAGGTCGAAATTTTACCCCTTAAAAAGCCAATGACCCCAAACCAAAGTAAAAACAATTTAAACTGTAAGAAGCATTTTTTTTTTAGCTTATGCTATGGAACATGTAACAAATATAAAATAGGTGCTAACCAAATTTGGCTGTGAAAAAGTGGAAATACATTTCACATGACCCTGGCCGCTTACAAAAGAAATCATGATGCAAGGAAAGCTCTAATATACTTACCTCTATAGCAAGCTATGTGCCTTACGTTCACTACATTCCAGCACTGTAGCCACTGTCATTTTCTTTCGCAATTGACACTTCTAGAATATCCAATACGTGTACCACCCTACAGTTTTATATTGGCGTAGCTATAACTACAATGCTATTTACTGCTACTATGCTCACATATTTCATTTTATCTATGAAACTTCAGTCAGCTTTTGTTCGCTGTGGGACTGCAAGGTAGGGCACGTATTGTCAAAGTTTGTAAATTTCTAGCTTTCAGGGAAATCCTATAGATAGATGAATCTAGATTAAAAGGAGAACTATGGGGTCAGTGTTTTTCCCCATAGTTCTCCTTGGGGTAACGGGAGGACACAAACTAGCGTCCTCCCGTTACCCTAAGCTCAGTATACCGCGAGCTACAGCTCGCGGTATACTGAGACGCCGCACCTGGAGCGGATCCCGACTTAGATGACGGTATCCTCCCAGCTGCGTGAGTGACAGCTGGCTATGCCTATCTAGAGGCAGAGCCAGCTGTACCCGCCCCCTCCCCCGTCCGTTCCGCCAGTCAGCGCTGGCAGATCGGAGCGGGGAGAGGGGAATCCAGCCCCTCCCCCTGTCACGGCAGAGAGCCGTGACAGGATCGAGAGGTGAGGGAACCCGGTATGTGTTCTCTCACCTCCCGATCTACTGAGCCGACCTGTGACAGTCTCATTGTCACAGGTCGGCTTAGAACTATGAGGTGAGTGGAAATCACTCATGTCATAGTTCTCCTTTAAGAAAAAAAAACCCACAAAGCAAACTATGCACACAATACAAGAAATAAAACAATCAAACAATCTTACCTAAATTAACTACATTCTTTGCCCAGAATGTTGGGTCACAATGAAATCTTATTGCTCCATTTGCGGCTGGAACTGGATCACATCGTGCCTTTAGGATGTGACGTAGCTGAAAAGTAATCTGAAAAAAACATTTGATAAGAAATGTCAAATCAGATAAAGATTCTAGCCAAATCAGATTCACAATTGTTGTTGTGTGTTTATTTAGGATAAGGCTGTCTAGGTTCCTTGAGACCCCATTCACACTGAGCGATTTGTAGTGCGATTACAGCTTAAAAATCACTCAATGTAGCTTGTCCAATGCATTTCAATGGAGCTGTTCACATCTGACAGCTCAATGTCGTGTGTAGCTTGTAGCTCAAGCTTGTCCCTTGAACATGACCTATTTTTCAGCGGATTTCGTGCGATTTGGCCCAATAGGCTTCAATGGTGTAGCTCAATGTCGCACGAATTTGCGCAACAGTGTCAAGCTATGTCGCGCTACAGAAGTGTCACTTTTGCACAGAAATCTAAGCAGGAAACAGGAAGAGGAATTATGTCACAGCAAGACCGCTTTTGATTGGATACAGCCCAATGTAGCAGTTACGAAGTCCATGCCAAAAGTAGCAATACGTAACGTGACAATATGTGCACTGTGGCTCAATGTCTCTCAAAGTTGTTCAGCTCAAATTAGCGCTGAAAAAGTGATTTTTCTGATGTAGCTCAGTGTGAATGGGGTCTTACAGTGTGGCAATTATTTGATCCCCTGCAGATTGAGTAAGTTTGCCCACTTACAAAGAAAGGAAAGGTCTATAATTTGTATCATATGTGTATTTTAAATGATAGAAACAGAATATCAACCAAAATTCCAGAAAAAACACATGATACCAATGTTATAAATTGGGTTGCATTACGCAAGTAAAATAAGTATTTGATCTCCAAGCAAAACATGACTTAGTACTTGGTGGAGAAACCCTTGTAGGCAAGCACAGAGGTAAGTCGTTTCTTCTAGTTGGTTACCAGGTTTGCACACATCTCAGGAGGGATTTTGATCCACTCTTCTTTACAAATCTTCTCTAAAACCTTAAGGTTTCTTGGCTGTCGCTTGGCAACTCAAAGTTTCAGCTCTCTCCAAAAATTTTCTATAGCACTGAGGTCTGGAGACTGGCGAGGCCACTCCATGATCCTAATGTGGTTCTTCTTGAGCCACTGCTTTATTGCCTTGGTGGTATGTTTTGGGTCATTGTCATGCTGAAAGATCCACCCATGACCTATCTTCAGTGTTCTGACTGAGGGAAGGAGGTTCTCATCCAATATTCTACAATACATGGCCCCGTCCATTGGGCCCTCAATGCGGCAAAGTCGACCTGTACCTTCAGCAGAGAAACAGCCCCAAAGCATAATCTTTCCACCTCCATGCTCGACTGTAGGGATGGTGTTCTTAGGGTCATAGTCAGCATTTTTCTTCCTCCAAACACAGCAAGCCGAGTAAATGCCAAAAAGCAGGTGAAAGAAATGAGGGATCCCCAAGAGCAGGGAAACCAAAGTGATCCAGACCTCAGAAATTCAAAATATTCCTATATATTCCAAAGGAGTGTGGAACCCAGAATATCCAGTAAAGAAAAAATATCCCCCAAAGGGGGATTGATATGTCAAAATTAGAAAAGTTGGGGTTTTTGGGCAGCCGACTGACAACTTAACGAACCAAACATTTGTTGAAAAAAAAATATTGATTTTATTTGATTAAAAAATTAAAATGGATACATTTTTTTGACAACATGATTCTCCTATAGGCTTCCCCCACACTGATTATAGTTCAAAGAAACATAACATTTAGAGATTTTGTACAATGGAACATGATTAGATAATTAGAGAACATGATGTGATAATTCATGGACACAATACATGATCAGTATACAAGAGTGATGGAGGAGCTTGATTTTCTCGACGTTTCGCGCTAGATAGCGCTTCCTCAGGAGATGGAGAGAAGTTGTCTATACAATTTAAGAAAAAATATATATAAAGAGTATAAACATCTATAAACTTCTAATACAACCACTTGACATTATCTCGTGGTGTGGTAAACAGGTAGATATATGTATATAAATATATCACCTACCCTTGGAGTCTGTGTGCGTCCCGGTTGTTCCACCCGGCTCACACAGTAAGAAGTAAAAGCATAGGGCGGGGGGAAACGGGACCAGAGAAGGGGATATATTAAATGTATATCATGAAATGTTTATGACTAAAGAGCTATTATAAATGTAAATCATATGTGAAAGTCTTATCGGGAGGACCCTTATTGGACTTCCATATCCCACCTCTTCCCCCTAGGAGAGGGTCCACCACTTAGTGTTTTAAAATCATGCATTATGTGTGCATCCCATGTTCCCCGGCCCCTTCCCCTTTTTTTCCACTTTTATTTTAATGCCTACGCATCTTTATTTTCCACCTCATTTCTTTTTTATTTTAAAATTTTTTATATCCTCCTGTTTTATATATTTTTTATTTTCATTTTTATATTTATTTTTATTTCACTTTACTTTATTTATTTCTTCTCCATTTCTTTTTTCTTCTCCTTACATCTCTTACTTGCATACTATTAGTTTTGGAACCCCGGCCCCAGTGATTGGCAGCAAGGGTGCTGGCCTCCACCAAATAGAAACGCCCCCGCAATGTGTCTCACTGTTAATACCATCATTCAGAGCGCCAGCTCCGCCACCACACTTCCCGGCGACTCGTACGGAGGGCGTTTAATGTTTTGGACCAGGTGACGACACCAATGACGTCACCAGGGGAGCGCCGATATAAGCACCCACGTGAGCCCCCAGCGTCAGTGTACAGCCTGAGAGGGCTGTATTGGCTGCTGGGGGCGCAATTTCAAGAGAGGAACGGCTACTTTACGACGCAGACTGACAGTCTTGTGTCTCAACCTCCAACTCTATGTAAAACGCGGTATGTATTTATTTACTTTAATCACTATGTCCATTAAGAACGATATGGTACAGTGGTCTGTTCCCACTGATACTCAGAGTAGTTCTTATGATCTCCCTTCAGGCCCTAACTGATTTATCTTATTTATTTGAAAACAAGGTTCATCTGCCATCTCTTGATAGAATCTGCCTCCACTGGGGTTTTAGGGCCTCCATTTCTTCTCCTTCTCTGGTCCTGTTTCCCCCCGCCCTATGCTTTTACTTCTTACTGTCTGAGCCGGGTGGAACAACCGGGACGCACACAGACTCCAAGGGTAGGTGATATATTTATATACATATATCTACCTGTTTACCACACCACGAGATAATGTCAAGTGGTTGTATTAGAAGTTTATAGATGTTTATACTCTTTATATATTTTTTCTTAAATTGTATAGACAACTTCTCTCTTCATCTCCTGAGGAAGCGCTATCTAGCGCGAAACATCGAGAAAATCAAGCTCCTCCATCACTCTTGTATACTGATCATGTATTGTGTCCATGAATTATCACATCATGTTCTCTAATTATCTAATCATGTTCCATTGTACAAAATCTCTAAATGTTATGTTTCTTTGAATGAACTATAATCAGTGTGGGGGAAGCCTATAGGAGAATCATTTTGTCAAAATTTTTTATCCATTCCAATTATTTTTTAATCAAATAAAATCAATATATTTTTTCAACAAATGTTTGGTTTGTTAAGTTGTCAGTCGGCTGCCCAAAAACCCCAACTTTTCTAATTTTGACATACCAATTTCAGGGGTGTGGCATCCTGTGCTTTGATTCAGGTCATTCTATGCTAAACCAAAGGGGGATTGAGCCACTCTGGGGAGATCTCAAAACGTGCAGTTCATGCAAGACAGCCCAGGAATATAAAAGGACCTGGAGGCCATTTGCCAGAAGAATGGGCAGCTTTACCATCTGAGAAAATAAAGAGCCTCATCCACACATACCACAAAAGACTTCAAGCTGTCATTGATGTTAAAGGGGGCAACAAACCGTATTAAGAACTGGGGTATGTAAACTTTTGAAAAAAAAAACCTTCAAACAGGTTAAAACTTACCTGTGTCTTCACGGCGCGCTCCCGTCCGAAAATCTGAAAAATGCCGGCCGCAAAGGATCTTGGGGCGGGTGCATGCGCAGTTCAGATTCTCGTCCAGAGAGACACAAGGTAAGTCTATAGACGGCGTGCACCCGCATGCAGACACCATGGGATAGGAAGTGCCAGCAAGCACATTCCTCAGCTGCCATTGTGATGTGTGCGGGATCCCTTGTGCGTTCCTGTGCCTTTTTGTCCTCCAGACAAACCTGCACCCAATTTGATCTTTTGCCATATGTGCTCCAAGATGGAGATTCTCATAATTTAGAGTTAGGACCGCACTATTTAGAGGTGCCTTGGCGCGGCTGTGCGGCTTTCACATTTTCTGCAGAGGACGTGTATCTAAACCTCTGTTTTTAACCTTAGCGGTGAGACAAGTTTTTTTTGCATGCTGGCTGGTGAATGTGCTGGGAAACTTTTTGCTGTTGTACTGTATAAAGCCCTTCCATGTGCACCTTGCTGTAAAGCTGGTAACAAATTGATGAGTTTGTTTGCCATTTGTTTGGCAGCGCTGGATCAGAGACCCGCAGCAGCGCTGGAGGAACAGATGAAAACGACAGGAAAGAAGATCAGATTAGGAGACATAATTTTTTAAAAAATTTATGCTTTAATGTCAATTTAAATGACAGGTACAGAATGTAGGTAGAATGATCTCCTGCACCCTGTTGCACCTAAAAGCGATCTTTGGCAGAAAAGTCGGGTCTGTCCGAAGGACAACCCGATCCTCAAAAATAAACAGGAACGGTTCCTTAATGGATAGTTAACACAAAAGACTGAGGGAGTGGAGGAGAGGAAGGTCTTTTAAGCAAATTAAGTGACGTGTTTCCTGTGTGTGGGGGAGGAGATTCCATCTCGTGATGCTGTCCTGGAAGACGTTATGGGAAATAATTGTTTTCCTCACTGTATATGCCATAAACATATGCATCTCACAATGCAAGTAGCTCTAAGGAAAAACCTAGTATTACTGACTTAGAGAACGGCAGAGAGGTTTTTTTCACACTGGACCCAAGTCCACTCCAAAACTTATATTTCAGTAGCTAGTGGAAGATGAGGAGTGCTCTAGCAAAGTGTTTCTCAACCTTTTTTTCTTTCACAGCACCCTTTAAGTATGCAAAATCTTGAGGCAACCCAGTCCAAAATGTCAGATTTAAAGGGGGGTGGGGTGACAAAAACACATAAAAGTGGGTTTCCTCCTTCACATCAAGTTTCCCCTGCTCTCCTTCACACCAGAGTCAGCCTTAGCATCAGTAGCCACCCCTTCACACCAGAGTTCCCCTTTACATACATTAGGAGCCCCCTCCACCTAGTCTTCACAGCACAGTCCCACTACCACAAAATTTTGAGGGACCCCCGAGGAAGCCTGTAGGCACACCAGGGTGCCACAGCACCCTGGTTGAGAAAGGCTGCACTAACAGAATCTTTTGGAGAAGCTGTGGACAAGTGAATTAGAATACGGGATTCGCTCTATTCCTAAGGAATGCAATGTGTTGATCAGTCTTAGGTTAGTGCTCATCTTACCTTGGCATTCATATGCACATGGAATCCACATACAGATAAACTTTTTCTGTGTGTTGTGTTTTTTCCTTCCACTGGTTTGTCATGATAACTTTACTAATGTACAACCCTCTTACAGACCACATAAAAGACAGTTCGGCTGATTGCAATAAGAAAGGCACAGTCTGGCCCCTTACGATACCCACTATCCAATACCTAGCTGCATGTTATTTTTCCAAGTTGGGGAATATTTAAATGGTTTTATATACATGTTCTTTATTATGGTAAAGTCTAAAAATACAAGGTAAATATGAAATACTGCAAATGATCACATAGTCTTCTATTCAGCTATCTTCTATTGAGCCTCAAGCTTCACTTTCTGGCTGGTTTTCATATTCAGCTATGTCTTAGTTGTAAAACGCTTGCGTATAGCTCTCAACCGTTCAAGAGCATATTAACCCTAAGTCTGCTCTCCCTGATTGGGCATACATACACAAAGTATTTAAAATGGGATGAGAATATTAAAAACATAAGCATGAAGAAAATTGACTAAAAACTAAGCCAAAGACACTTACCAGTCGCTTACTGTACAGTAGTGCTGTACTGCTGCCACTTTGAATAGCCCAGTTTGTAAAACTCATAACATGTTTGACTTGTCGGGAGAGACCAGTTATATCATTTTGTTGTTGTGAAAGTTTCATTTGTCTTTCTTTTGTTACGCTCTGAAAGTCAATGCACATAAATACATTATGCAATATTTTTTTTTAAGTAAATTTTTGACCTATTTGCATATAACGTGATGATCAAAAGGGAATTTCTGTGAGATAATAGTGGCAAAGGTAAGCATTTATCTGAGATAATAGTGGCAAAGGTAAGCATTTATCTATTTGTTCCCCAAAGTTTTTTTTTTTTCTAGTTCCATTTTTTAGCTTTGTATCCTACGGTTCCACTTGTGTGTTGGATTAGCAGGCAATACCATTCTGTTAAAAGCAGAATGCAAGGGCATATTTTAACATACCCATACATCTTAGATCAGTGCTTATCTGCTTATTGTAAAAGTATATAAAGTATTTTTTTTTTGTAAATCTCCCTGAATATCTCTATTTAGTCAGATATTTATATGTTTCTTCTTCTAAAATGCCTTCAATAACATGGACCAATGTAGTGCTTGAAAAGGAAAATGTTGCTTTAGTAAGTTAAAAATAACAGCACTAAAGATCTCAGTCATTAAAACCGCAACAGATTATCAAATTAAACCGCAATGCCATATTTAACTTAAATGCAAGCAAGAAGCATCAAAAGATTAATTTCTATATATACACAAATGAATGATACAACTAAATAAACGTATCCTACCTCCAACTGTTGCAGAAGAGATTTGCCCTTTTTATTGATTTCATTTATTAAGGTGAAGATAGCCACTTTAATTTCCTGTTCCACGCGTTTATTAGTTTCATTCACTTCTTTTATCCTATCAAATACAAGAAAGTAAAATATTGAAAGTCTTCTCAGGGCAATAACAGGTGCAAAAGACATCACATTTATTGAAAGAGGAAAAAAAATTGTTGGTTATCTAAGGTATCCTAGGATTTGTATAGGAAGAAGATAGAAGAATTTAGCCTCACTTCCACTCCTGGAGACATTAATGATCAAGGCAATTAGAGAATGAATCTCTGGGACACAAACCTAAAAAAAAAGGTTTTGCATTTAGTTTTTCCTTTAATATGGCGTGCTTAAACAGTTTGCGATGTTAGGACGTTCCATACTGTCCCACAAAGCATGGGATTTAAAGACGTTAGGGTGGCCTGGGAACTCAGGCAATTCCCCAGGATCCAATGTGATCCTGGGGAATGAGGTCATGTGATCGCAGTGGCAAGCAGTCACTGCGATCAGTGTTACATTGTGACAGCCAATGATTTGGCTGCCTCTGCTTCTCCCTCTCACCTCAGTGTCACCTGAGGCGAGAGAAGTAGACAGATCAGTGCTTCTCAAAGTAGTCAATTATAATTTTAAACACAAAAAAAACCTTTATTTAAAACCGCTCACTCAAATCAGTACAATAGTACTGTTCAGCATATTCAGGTGTGATTTTTGCATTTTTTTAAATGATAATTTTACCCTTTGATAGGTTTACCCTTTTTTAGTTCTTTTTAATAAAATTAACCTCTGAGCGTCGATCAGTTTTATCGCTGTGATCACACTGATGAGTACAATAGTACTGCTCAGGTTTGTTGGGGTGTATTCTTTCTTTTTTGGGGGTTTTTGCTTTTCTTTAATTCCCCCCATTGTAATTTTTTTTTTTTTTTTTTTTTAAATGGACCCCTTCAGCTCTGATCAGTTTTAGCACTGTTCAGTATTTTTGGGGTGTGATTAACGGTGTTTTAACTACCTTCCGTCCATGGCCGTTTGTGAACGGCCGGACGGACGTCTGCTAGGAGCGGGAGGGCGTCTTAAGACGTCCTGCCCCTCCCCCGTCTCGTGTGCGGCACTCAGCGCGCACACGAGAGGGAAAACTGTAAGTATGTAAACAGCCAGCGATGGCTGTTTACATACAAGCGATCAGGCGTCTCTAGAGACGCCCGATCGCTTGCAGGAGCTGCGGGTGTGCG